ATAAACTACAAATAAACAAAAAAAAAACCTAATTAATAACCACATAATCATATCTTTGATTACAGATAAACAATCAAATTAACTTTCAAAATCATTCAAAACACAAATATATCACATAGTAAGCACACACACAATCAACGATCACCAATCGGCACAACAACGCGACAATAGCTTTCAAATTCTCTACTTCAAAATTGAGAGAAAAAAATTGTAAGACCTGAGTCACATTTGCTATTCTCTTATAAAAATCCAAAGAAAAACTCCTTTGGAAGTCTCTACATCAAAATTCATAGAAAAAAAATATTATTAACAATAATTCAAAACCCTAATTTTCTCAAATCACTCACCAAAATTCCTCTAATTTCTTCATCCCGATGGACAATTAGACCCAATAGTCACACCGCCGACATGGCGACGTCGCGACCTTCGACTCCCCCCAACCAATCTACTCTACGACCTTATCCACCGCCGACTACTGCCATATTTTCGTCGGCGATTTCCTCGAGGAGCTCGAGAACCGCGTCGACGTCCTGACCTTATCCAACAACGGTGGTGGCAGGAGAAGAGCGATTTCTAGGTGCCCGTGGTGTACGGAGGAGGTCGGAGGATCTCTGGACGGTGGAAATAAGGGTCTGCATGGCCACGACAACTGCAATGTCGAGGATTTAGATCGGATCAAGCAAATCTTTTTAAGGAGAGGATAAAAGCCGGAGAAACTAGATCTGGTTTCTGAGATGCTTTGGGGTTTGGGAGGAGAGAATGAAGAGGTGTTCGTCACGTCTAGAATTAAAATAATTAGGAAGTCATATTTTTGAAGCAAATAACATAAAAGTGGATTGAAAATTTTAAATTCGTAATTTGGGATATAATGACATCGTTTAGGGGTAATTTTCTCTATTTTATTATTGGACCCACGCTTGCACATCACAAATGAATTAGATTATACAGAGTATGTTTTAGGTAAAGATGGCAATCATGGCCGGTTCACGACCCAGCCTGGCCCAACGGGTCGCCAGGCCTGAAAAGCTAGATCCGGGACCGGCCCGGCTACATTTAAGGGCCGGTTCAAATAAACC